GGAACAAACTTTGCCCACAGGAAAGACTGGATCAATGGGAAGGATTCAGACTTCAGATCCCTCAAGATATATCCTCAGAGATAGTGGCTGAATTTCAGCAATTTATCTGCAGTACACAAGCCTCTCATTTGTTAAAATATTCATCATGCTCAGGATAAGGGACCCATGATTACCCAGCATAAAGTGTAAGCACTCTATGGTCTGTCCTTACCATGTTAGTTAACTGCTGCTCTGTCATCAAGAATAGTTAAGAAATAAAGATTAAAATATAAATTTAGTCAATAAAGACTAAAATATAAATTCAACCCTAGGACAAGCAAGGCAAATAGGGTAGTCCACCAATAGTAGGAATGGCATTAGGGAAATCCACATCTTGCAGTGTTTTTTTTTTTTTTTTTTAACTAAAGGAAAGATCTGATCATTAATCAAAAGAACCCTACAGGTGGAGAAGGAGAAGGACAGTAGGGCAGCTTTGTAGACAGCGACCACAACTGATCCAGTGATGGTTAAGTGGGTTTATAAGTGTCAAAATGACACCTCACTCAGGAACTTGTAAAGATCAGGGCTTAAAGACCAGGAAAGTACAAGACTGTAATAAAGCTTTTACTACCAATAATTGCTCAGAGTACATCAACATTTCAATTATTGGGCTAAATTGGTTAATATGCTTTCCAAGCAAAATGGTCTTTAAATATGTCAGAAGGATCCATAACTTGTCTTCTAATATTTAGCTTTAATTGATTTTCTTGAGACAGGATCTGTGTAGTTCAAGTAGGCCTTGAACTCACTATGTAGCCAAGGGTGGTCTTGAACTCACAGTGATCCTCCTGCCTCAATCTCCCGAGGACTGGGATTACAGGAGTGTACCACCATGCCTGGCTTCTAATCAATTTTAGATGTAGGAATTGAAGTAATGGCCACCATTATATTCTCATTAATATTACCCTGACTTAGGGGATTCTGTTGTTTTGCACATTTGTTAAATGAAATAGATATGCTGACCACTGATCTGCATTAATGACGGGCAGATGTATTCAAAGTGCACAATACAGTACTCCAGTTCCTGGAGACTTATGTTCCCATTGAAGGTGATTAAATAGCAATTAGACTCCTGTGTCCCGCGACACGCCAGAGGGAAAGTACAAATTTTGAATGTCATTCTTAGTTTCTGCAATGATGTCACTTATCAAAGACATCAATGATATCAAAGAATTGCATATTAAAATTATATTTTGTACCCGAAGGAAAGAAAACTGGTTTCAAAAGCTTTGCAAATGTTCTAATTCAGCTAAAAATTCTATAAGCCCTGAAGAAGAAAGAAGTTACAAAAAAGAGTATTTCTGATAACCATAGTCCATCTAAGATCTTATTAAAGTATACTTGATTAATAATAAAATGCAGAAGTATTAATTTTGGTGAACTGCATGAGTTTTGATATATTCTAAGAACTTTCCCCTTTTGTTGTACAAAGGATGTTTGATAATGGAGGAGAATTTTCTGCTGCAATATATTTCTATCACTCTGATATAAATGGATGCTTTCAAGGTTTGAATTGAAAATATGTTAATTTTCCAGGCTCTCAGATTTCAGGGAGGATTGTGGTTGCTAAAAGAACAAAGAAAATACGATATTGTTTCATACTCTTAAAACCCAGAGCTGTTTAATTCATGTTTCAACATTCAGATAAAGCCAGGGATTGCATATTCTCTGATGGAATGTTTTTACAGGTAGGAGATTAGTTTTGTGGAAAGCCTTACCAAATGTCGTGTTTTATAGGACAATATGTGTTTCAACATGTGGTTAAGCTAATAAAGGCAGTTAAGGTCAGATGTGGTAATATTTCTCCTTAAGTTTTAAAATTTAAATTCAATGTATACTCTCTTGGAATTTTCAGCACCTCAACATTAATCACAAAGCCCTGGTTTATTAAGATTTTTGTACCTTTTGAAATATATTCTTTCAGTTTGAAACATGTAAGTTGCGTAGTGTTAAATTTGAAGAGCTTCCTTAAATTGCTCTATTGGTGTTTGATAGTAAACAGTGGGTGAAATAATATCTGGAAGCTTTTAATCTTGTGTTTGGGTCCTCAGGGTTAATCTGAGTAAAGGACAATGAGACTGCGTCCTTGTGACATGACATCAACCAGGCTTACAGTGTAGGATATGACACCAGCATAGTATATGGCTGAGGGATTGGGGTATGACTACTCATGAAGTGGCTGTATAACACCTCCAGTGAAGGCAAAGTCAAAATAAGACAGAGACTAGATTGCAAACAGTCTTTTGCCACGTTTTTGCAGAAACTCTTAATGGGTGCTTCAGTTTTGAAGTGGCCGCTCTGATCAGTGTAGCACAGTTGTCTGTTCTATTGCTTTCTCTGTGTGATTTGGATCTACCACTTGACAAAAAATTTGTTTGTTTGTTTGTTTTTTGGGTTTTTTTTCCAGTACTGGGAATCGAACTCAAGACATTGCACTTGCCAGGCAGGTGCTGTGCTGCTGAGCTAGATCCCCAGCCCCCACTTGACAAAAATTTTGGGAAAGCTCTATTTTAGATTTGCGGGTTAGACCTACACTCAGGAGAGATGTAAGGAGAAGGTTATGGAATTGAATATCAGGCTCTTTGTCACTGTTCCCTACTACTGTCTGCATATCTGTTGTTTTAGGTGCCTTACTGAGTAATGCAGATCAGTTTCCTCACCTTGGAAAGATCTCAGTCCTTAGCTACCATGTTTGTTTCAGACCATGGTTGTACTTCTCTACTTTCAGGAAGGTATTCCATTGCAGGATCAGACTGGCAGCTTGCGATTGGCACCAGAGATGCGGTGATATCGCACCTATTGCTGCGTTTCCTTTGCTGTAAGATAGTTTCAGTGGTCTGAGGGGATACAGTGTGTGATTCATATGTGAATGCAGGAAGTTTTTAAATTTTATACAGTATCATGATGCTACAGGAAGCCCTTAGGGCAGAAGAGGTGAATCCATAGCTCAAATATGCAGTGGAGGAGGAATCATCGCCTTTTTACACTTTGCAGTGAGGTCAGTTTGCTACTAAAATGCCTGATTGGGATCAGGAAGTGGTATCTTACCACTTGATCCACTTGATCCACTTGGGTCCACTTGGGTCCAGTTGGGCCTTTGTTGTCAACAGGCACTGACCAGTGAAAATAGCTGGACAAGTCTTTAAGTCCTGATCCTAAGCTAGTGAGTTTAGTCTCAACTTTCTTTTTTGCCTATCAAATGTGTCTGTACACTTACTTTGCAGAAAGTTTTGAGCTCTTTTTAGGTGCCCTTTACCTCAGAGGCTGGCATTTGTCAGCTGGTCAGATTAGTCTATGTGGCTGTTTATTGCCTTTTCTGAGGAGGTTAATTTTTGGTAGGCATTAGCATCCAATGTGAAGTGTAAGGATTTTTATATGAGTCTGTTAATACTCCTTTGTTTTTCCCAGAAATCTTTGCCGTTGTTTTTCCAATATATTTTTCTCATAGCTCTGACAGACCAACTGAGCTACTAATTACTCCTTGCTATGAATTTGTGTACATTCTAACCTTGGGTCACTTCTTGTTCAAACTAAATAGATGACCAGTATACTGTCCTCAGTGTACTGCAGAAAGATTTAATATCACTTTGGTCTTTCAACGATACCCTGGTGGTGCTGCCTTCAAGGTAGAGTCTGTGATGGATCCCTGGAATCAACAGTATGACTCACCTACTGGGGGTAGCTGCAACCTCTGCACTGACTCTGCTCGTGTTACTTTTAGTACCCCCAAAACCTTCTGATCATATCATACAATTAAGCCGACTACAGCACAGTCTGTAGATCCTATTTTGCTCTTTGCCCCACTCAGAGCTGGCAGCCCTTCATTTCTGTTGGAGGTTAAGATACATACGGGAAGGGGTGGTTCTAAGTTTCCTCCAGAATTCAAAGGGGTTTAGTTGGTAGTGTGCTTTTTCCGTCTCTGTGAAAGATAAAAATGTAATTTGTCTTGTAGTTTGGAAAGAAATTATAATTTCACTGACCAAAAAATAACTTAAAAATTCATCAATGAGATAGGAGTCTGAATCTTTGTGCAGTTGTTATGATTCAGATGTAGAATGTACCCCTAGAGGCGGCCTTTTAGCGGGTGGTGGGATGATGGGAGCACTGTACTCATCAGTGAGCTCAGCGGCTGAGTGTGCTATTAGGAGGAGGAGTCCGATCAGAAGGGGCAGGTCACCGAGGGTTGACTAGAAGGGTACGTCTTCCCCCTCACTCCTGCTCTATCCTAGCTGCCTTGACATAAGCAGCTTTCCTCTTCCCAGGCTCTCCTATTGTACTGTTTCTGCATTACAGCAGGCTGACCATGGACTGAAACTTCTAAAACTGTAAGCCTACATACATCCTCTGTCCCTTAAATTGTGTCAGGTATTTTGTTCCACTGACAAAGTGACTGAGACAGTAGTTTGTCTTTAATGCTCTGGGGAATGTCGTACCAATATATTTGCCATTTCTTGTCATCAGTCCAAGTAATGTGATGTCATCAACAGAATAGAATAATATGTTCTTTATAATATGCTGACAGTCCAGGTGTCCTTGGACTATATTATAACAAGGGAGAGGAAAATCAACACAATCTGCAACAAGACTACAAACATAAATGTAAGAACGGTTGTCCACCTCACAGAAGTGTTGCTGTTTTACTTTCTGATAGCCCTGCAAATGAACATATTCATCAGATCAAGTACGGAGTACTTCACAATTGAGTGGGCTTTGATTCACTGTAGAAAAAGACTACATGTCACAGCAGCTTCCACTGACTTCAACTTGATTGAGTCTTTGGCAGGGCAGTGTTATGCAGAACCCATCTCATCTCTGGTTAGTGATCTATGTAAAAGGTGGTTGCGACAGTCAGATTTCCATTGCTGTGGAAAAACATGCGAGAAGAGCAACTTCAAGGAAATATTTATTTTAGTATTTTCAGAGGTTCCAGCCCATGACTGACTGATTCCATTTCTCTGCAGCCTGGGTGAGGCAGAACATTGCTCTGGGGAGGAGATGACTGAGCAAAGCTGCATCGATTGTGTTGGATGGAAGAATGGAGAACAAGAGAGAGAAAAGGGCCAGGGACAAGATATCATCCTCAGGGACATGTCTGCATGGACTCACTCCCTTTAACTAGGCCAAGCCTCCTAAGTCTCCATCACGTCCCAGTAATATCATCAAATTATAACCCATCAATGGATTAATTCTCTGATGAAGTTAGAATCTCCATTGTCCACTTGCCTTCCAGAATCTCCAGTTCTAGACAACCCTGCTCTGCAGACCAAGCTTTCAACATATGAGCTTATGAGGGACATTCCAAATCCAAACCATGAGATAGCTCTTACGTGGCCCGCTAGCATGGTATTTGAAATAGTATGTTGCTAAGAGTTAATGCTTAAAATAATCTGTTGAATGAATAAATAGCCTCTTTTTCTGTTTCATATTTTCTTAATTATTTTTAGACATATTTTATTTCTTTGCTCCTCTGTATCACTTAGGTGACTCTAATTTTCATGAAGTTATTAAGTTGATATAGTTGTCATTACATTACATTTTTAAAGAATAATCTTGATCACATGTTGAGATTTTAATATTTGGTAAATAAAAAGTGAGTTGAATATATGGAATTATGTGCATGGCTTTTGAAACTTGACTTTGATCCTTTGGTATAAGCCATCCTACAGTTTTAAAATGGCTTCATAATATATTGTAAATATGTTCTATAATTAAATAATTAATTCCTTATTTCTGGAGTTCTCCTTTATGGATAGAGAAACTCCTGTTGTGAGAAATTAGCTGAAAATTTAGAATCACTGAAAGAATTAAAGGTACTCAGAAAAAATAAAGAATCACATTTTACTGGAACTAGGGAACCATGTACTTAGAGACTCTGAAAAAGGTAAAGCTGGAGAGAAATATAGCAGTTAATTGGTACCTCCCTCTCCTCATTTTATGTATGAGAACAATAAGAAAACTTGACTTTCCCGAGAAAGAGTAATTGACAACTACTTGATAAGCTATCTTCATATTTCATAAATATTGTAAGCTCACTATAATGTGACTTCCAATTCAACTGTAAGTCTTTCAGATGAAGACTGGTACATGTTGTGATAAATTTATAAGTCACCTTCTACATAAGTCAAACCACTTGATTCCTAGAAATAGTACCTTAATTAAAATATTTTTGGATATGAGCAAAAAAAACTAATTTCAGATAAATTAAACAAGAACCACAAAACAAAACAAAATAAGCTTAGGAATATTATGAAACCATCAGTGCTGACCTGTTGGGATTATAGTTTAGGATTTCCCAGTGACAGTTCCTCTGTTCACTTTGCTTAAGTTACAGGCCCTAGTTCTCACTCAGATTACAGCGGTGGGTACAGAATTCAGTTTGGGTCAATCAGGGCCTTATTCATCTGAACACAGTGATTGGTTCAATGTGTATCATATGATTTCCACAGGTCAGTGAAAATCCTTACCTTGAACTGATACTCCGAACACTAGGAAAAAACTCCTTTATTGCTAGGGTTGCTCCTCTAGAAGGATGTGGAGCAGTCCATATTTTTTATACACCATTTAGAAAGAGCCAGTCTGTTGAATGAAGCCAACCGTGAATGAAAGCACAGAGAGAGCATCTTTGCCATATCTGGCTGCTGAATTCCAGGCTTCTGAGGCTCTGGTTTCTACAGCTCTTCCTTTAATACTCGAGTCAGTCATTTTTCTGTTACTGTAACAAATAGCTAAGATAAATGATTTATAAAACAGGCTTATTTTGGTTCACAGTTTCACAGCTTTGAGTCCCTGGCCTATGGGTCCGGCTGCTTCGGGCCCACGGCGGCACATCATGGCAGAAGTGTGTGGCAGAGCAAAGCTGCTCACCTCCTGGGCAGGAAGCGAAAGAGAGAGGAAGAGGCTGAGGTCTCACAGTCCCCTGAGTGGGCACCATCTCGATGACCGGGAGACTCCTCCATGCGCCGGCTCTTCAAGTGTCCACCTCCCACTGGCACTGAACTGGGGACAAACACTTTAAACCTGGGTCTTTGGGGGACATTCTAGACCAACACTTTCTTTTCTTTACTAACTTACATTTCAGTTATTTGGGACTTAAAGCGTTCTCATAGACTGGGCGGTTGTGTTCAGCTCAAGGACTGACGGGTATTTCAAGTGTCTGAAACCAGCACATGGGAAGATTCAGGAAGCAAGTAATAGTCTGTATTTCACTCCTTATTTATTGCAAGTACTTGCTTCAGTCTTTGCGTCCTTTTTATTCCTTCTCAGGATTTGGTTTTGTTCCTTTCCCAACATCTTGCAAGAGTATAATGGAGCTACTTCTTAATCTACATCACCTGTGTTCAAATTATTAAGGAAGAGGGAATTTTACCCACTTTGGATGAGGTGCGTATCTGTCAGTTATCCACGGCCAAATGCTAAAGTCATTTGCTTGTGGATGGAAATCATTCTCAGAAGAGGGTTATTCCGAGTGGACAGTCCTCAATCACTTACTGTGCCTATTTCATTCGGGTATCCACAGTCCTTTTTCTGAATGCGGATCTCGCAATAGTGTAAGAAATTATTGGGGAATAATTTCCATTATATTTTTTTCAGATTTGTAAATATGGACTCAGAGAAGTGGATTATGCATGTGAACCCCGTGTTAAATAGTGATCACTTTAAATGTGTATTGCAATGACTCCTGTTGTTGAAAATAAATGTGTTCATTTTCATTTGTTTTCATAAAGAGATGTTCCAAATGATTTCTCTTTTCTAAATAAAAGGAAAACACAGTGAAGTAGATCTGTGTGGTGTTTAGGGTAACACATTTAGTAGACCAAGGAGAATAGTCTGCATAATTACAGTCAGTTGTTCATCCTGAAAACCAGACTTCTCTGAACAAACCAGAGCCCTTTAGATAAGGTTGCCTTGACTGATAATCCCTCTGTTCTCTTTAAGCTACTCCTACTCACTGCTATCAGCAATGAGCTTCAGAGAAAACAGGTTGGGACATGTAAGCTGGGCAAAGAGATTCTACTATGCCCCTATATTCTTTTATTTTCCCATTGGCATGACATTTATTCATAATTTATCTTAATTTTTACTCCTTATCCCTCAGTAAAATTAAGATAGCAACCATGATAGCAGATAATATTTTCTTTCCAAATGTAGTAAAACATTCTCATTTTGATGAATAACACAAACCCTCAGCATTTAGTTGGCTGGTTACTTGGCTGCCCACATGTCGAATTATGTGTGAGAAACATATAAGCCACTCCCTGCAAAAGGACATGAGTGAATCCTCACAGAGCGCAAGGGATGACAGCTCTCTGGTAATTTCCTTCCATTTGATGCCTATCTCACATCTTTTTAAAAGAAAATTTTACTGTGCTCACACAGCTTGGAGGTGCAGGGGAAGCCTGACAAGAAGAGCATTACACTTTCTAACAGGGTTGAACGTGGTTTGCAGAACGTAGAACATTTGTCAAACATACTACAGGGCATTAGGTTTACCCTGGTGTGAGGAAGAGAGGGGTGAGTTAATGTTGGGAAGCTAGAATCATCTATCTACCTGGACAGTAAGGACCCAGGTGATATTTTATGTACCAAATCTGTTTTTTATTGAAGAAGGGAGAGAACAAAAAATGTAATACTAAAATGAGGTGATGCAGCTAGAAGGATCACACAAAGCTTGCTTCTTCCATTCTAAATGAGGGGCAGAAAATGGATCGAGTCGCAAGACTGGACCCGTGTTAATTTTTCTTTATGCACAAATAGCCTCTTATATTTGCAGTCATGATATAACGATGAATTTTTAGAGTAGAATTTAAATGGTTATGGGAATAAAGAAATGGAAAGAGTAGTGTTGGAAACACACTTTCAGACTTTCCTTGGTCTGGCAGTAGCCGACTTTAAAACTATAATGGCAAATTATTTTCCCTCAAAGTTTTCCCTTCAGTGTAAGATTGTTCTCTTTATTCTACTTTCTAGAACTCAGCTACAACTGAATTTTAATACACGAAATTAAAGGCTTGTATTTTTTTCTTTTTGTACTTGATTATTTTGTCAGCGATTTCTGTCATTTCCTGTTGTATGCCTCTTCTTTCTCATGAAATATTTCTTCTATTTTCTTTATAGGTTTTATTTACATTAGAACACTTAGGTATGGATTATCAGAACTTTTCATGAATCACTCCAGGGCATTACCAATATACATTTTTATATTTATTTATTCAAATTCCCCTTTTAGCAAGTCCCTAAATTTAATTATTAATATTATTTTATGCTTTTAACACAAATTAATAACATTTCCTGGTATAATTTAACCCAATAAATTACCATTAAATCTCTAGCATGTGTTCAGAGTTCACACTTACTGGATAAACAAGCAATGCTCAGTGATCCTTATAGGTATTTCTTGGTAATTTTACTTGTGGGTCTTGGTTTTAGTAATGATGCTTCATTATCAACATTTGTTGAAATTTCCTATTTTTTCTTATTGTTCCTTTCAAGTTGATTCTGAGAATTTTGTATTTATGGTTAGAGAAACCAAGACGTATTTATAATTAATGGTGCCTCTCATGAACTTGCTGGTATGACTGCAAAGGAATCATGGCTTTTCTGAATCCATTCTATTGTGCCCAAACTCGTTTATTCACTTCAGGTGACTCCACTGAGTGGTCATGACTTGTGTCATTGTTTGTAATCAATCACCTTTGTCAACAATGTTGTCCTTGTCATTCCTGTAACAATTAAAACAAATCATGTATGTATAATATTATTGCACTGTGTGTTATATATCTATTATATATTATGTATATCTGTTTCTATATATTTCAATTCACAACATTATAATGAATTCAGATTTTGGAAGGGGTCCTGGAGTTTGAACCCAGGACATTCACACTGAGCTAGTCTCCCAGCCCTACACCTCTTTTTATGTTTTTGAGACAGGATCTTTACTTTACTCAGACTAGGCTTGAAATTCAGTCCCCTTGTCTCAGCCTCTCAGAGTGCTGGGCTTACAGGTTGTGCCTTCATGCCCTATGTTAATCTTTTCAGAATTTTAAAAATGGTTTCATACTCTCTTAATGCACAGAGAATGTAAGATCTTATGCATCTGAAATGAGCCCATGTATTTGTGTCAGAGGACTTACCCACAGACAAGATCTATCCTGCCTGCTCTCCGCACCATTTCTCCTAGAGAGGTCTAGAACAAGAGGTTCAGTCAAGGTGACCTAATATACATAGCTGCAATTCTGGCTTTGTGGATTTCCAGACTGCTTCTGTGAATGTCACCTTTAGTATCCACTGGTCTCAGAGCCAGCTCACACAATTGGAGTTTTGATAGGATCTAACCATTTCTAATTCTGCTGGGCAGGAGGAGTCCAGAGCAGTTGTGCTGGGGCGGCCTGTGCTTGCAGATCACACTTGTCTGGTCAGTTATGTCATCGCCCTTTTACTGTTCCTGAATTTGACAGAAAGCCTGCTTGTTTTCTGAGTGACTTACATTACCATAAACATTTTGTTTCTGTGTTTGTGGCAATATTTCCTTTTGTCCAGGAAACAAAATGCATGAGAAGTGAAAATTATTTGATAAGGGGAATGTGGTGGAAAAGAAGATTGTGTGTGT